TCCAGCGTGTCGACCGCACCACATATACCAGAAATACTTGGCATTATTAAGACAGAAAGGCATTTGGAAATAAACACATGTATGTAATATTTCAGAATTCAGGGAAAATGCAAGTAAAATACTTTGAAACTGCACTCATGAAAGGTATCAACAAATGATTAGTATTTGAGATGGGGCTTCCCAAATAGCAGAGAAAAATACTTCAAAGACTAGATTTTTCTGCAATACACAGAAGTTCAATTGAACACCACTGAGGAGAGACAGGGACTTCAGAAAAAGTGGCTTAAGAAAAAAAAATTATCTGTCTGAAAGGAGGGAAAAAAGAGATTACAATAAATGTAAAATATTTTACTTAATGCAAACAAAAGCTGTGGTAACAACATTGCACAATATCAAATTCTAAGGTTTTAAAATTCTCAGAAATTACTCAGTGGTATTTTTTTTCTTCATATATCCTTATAATTTTATTTTTACATCAGTTTTACATTATGACGAGAGTAAATTACTTACAGAAATTAAGACAAATTGTATATAATCTGCCAATTTACTAATGTTTCATGTCACAGAGTGTAATCATTTAACATTTGGATCTGAAAAGGATTATCAGATTCAACGTTTTGCTAGTCATACAACAGAATGATATGGTCCGCACCAGTAATTTTTTAAAACAGTTAGAAATATATGGGAATTCACTGTTAGTGTGCTGTATGTCCTACAAAACACAGGCAATAATTAAACTTTGTTACTTCACTTGAAAGACAATTACTCCCTTTTGTGTAAGATCTCCAGCAAAAAGGCAGGCAAATGCATAAATCCAATGTTTTTAGATCCAATGCTGAATAGCCTGGAGGGCAGTCGTAAAAGTCCTGAGCGCAGGATGAGTCCCTCGATGAGACATCAGGAGGGACCCAGCCTCTGCACTGAACCCTGCTTCTTTAAGTTGTTTTGCGATTTCCTCTACATCCCAGCCACCTTCTCCCTGGTTAGCCAGTAAGTGGTCAATAAGGCGAGGATAGAAGGCAGTAGAAACACACTTCACCACCAACTTGGCATTGAGGAGCAAGGAGAGTATTTCAGCATCACAAGTGGAATCATCAACCTATGAAGAAAGAAAAACTCAAAGTAATTAAAAGTTAATTGCCAGATCCATGACCTAGAACATGTCACAACACTTCTAATTGCACAGTGCAATCTTGAAAGTGAGAAGAGTATTCTGTATGGATTAACAACAGGGATGCACACTTTGCACACGTCAGACTAAGTAAAGGTATGTGTCTAACAGCCTCTAGCACGTTTATATAAATATCTGAACTGTAAGAAGTTAAGGAATAAGGATGCCTAACAATCTGGCTAGGATTATATGAACAGGTTCTCAGCCCTGGTAAAGAACAGCCAACATGATTTACCTCTGTATCAAGAATGACAACCTGAGGAAGGTCAGAGCAGGGTATATTACATTTTGGTGAATTTATATTAATATGTTACATTCACTGTACTAATGATAGGCAAGATTTACAGACCCAGAGTTTCAGCACTCACAGTAAAGATGAGATTTTTCAGAAGAATACAACTTGCATATTAAAAGATTTGAAGGACAGAGCTGCTACCTCTGTGAGACACTCTCAATGCCTCAGAAAAATGCAGTTACTTCACAGAATCACAGAATTGTTTGGGTTGGGAGGGAACTTGAAGATCATGTACCCCTGCCATGGGCAGGGACACCTTCCACTAGACCAGGTTGCTCAAAGCCTCATCCAGCCTGGCCTTGAACACTTCCAGGGATGGGGCATCCACAGCTTCTCTGGGCAACCTGTTCCAGTGCCTCACCACCCATCTCATGAGGAATTTCTTCCCGATATCTAATCTAAACCTCCCCACTTTCAATTTAAACCTGTTACCTCTTGTCCTGTCACTACAGGCCCTTGTAAAAAGTCCCCCCCAGCTGCCTTGTAGCCCCTTCAGGTACGAGAAGGTGCTATAAGTTCTCCCCTGCGCCTTCTCTTCTCCAGGCTGAACAAGCCCAACTCCCTCAGCCTTTCATCATAGCAGAGGGGCTCCAGCCCTCTGAGCATCTTTGTGGCCTCCTCTGGACTCTCTCCAACCGGTCTATCTCCTTCTGATGTTGGGGGCTCCACAGCTGGACGCAGCACTCCAGGTGGGGTCTCACCAGAACAGAGTACAGGGGCAGAATCCCCTCCCTCGACCTGCTGGCCACACTTCTCTGGATACAGCCCAGGATACGGTTGGCTTTCTGGGCTGCCAGCGCACACTGCCGGCTCATGTTCAGTTTTTCATCAACCAGTACCCCCAAGTCCTTTTCCTCGGAGCTGCCCTCTATCCACTCTCCACCCAGCCTGTACTTGTGCTTGGGATTGCCCCAACTCAGGTGCAGGACCTTGCACTTGGCTTTGTTGAACTCCAGGAGGTTGGCACAGGGAAACCTGATACATGATATCAGATATTGTCTTGAAAATCTTGTCTATAGCTTTACAAATAACACTACAGAATACTTAAAATTCCAATTCAGTTAATTTTGACAGGTCTTTCCTGGGTTCCTTGAAATGAAGTGCTGTTTTAGTCACCTTAGGTGTCTTACCACTTCAAGAAGTGCAATAAAAGAAATACATATAACAAAAAAAGGGGCCAAAGGAGGGGTAGACACCAGTCAGTTTTCAATGTCTACATCTAATAAAGTTAGAAATAAACTAATTAAATTATGCTACATTTACAAAAAAAATTCTCAGTTTGAAAAGAAATATGTGTCTGGTGAGTCTCCACTGACGAAGCATCAAAGGAGGATGTAGGATCAGAGCCAGAGTAAAGAAAAGCAAGTAGGTGGGGTTTTTTACATTGTTGAACTCTTTAGCAAATGATACTGCAGAATGTAAAAGCTCATCCAAGTTTAAGGAGAAACTGGGCAAAATGGAAGAAGAAAACCACTGGCAGTTTCTTAGTATACAGATACATGAGGCTGAAAATGACTGGAAGCTGAGAGAGCAGTATGTCAGAAGAGCCTATGTATTTGCACTGTTCTTACTCGTGGCTGGACTTCCTTCCGTTGGAGCCAGGATACTGTTCCAGACTGACTTTTGATCCTCAAAACTTTATGTTTTAAAAAAACGTTAATTCACAACAATCTTAAGGGTTATTTTTGTCTGTCAATGAAGAGTTGTTTAAATCAGCACAGACTGACAGCATGGATAAACTTCTAGAATGCACACCAAATGTTAGCCTACAGCAGACACAGACTCCCTAAATGCTGTTATATTTTCTTCTTCAAAATCACTATTTTGACAAGACTTGTAAACAAGAGAATAAAACTCGATTAAGGTAATTACTAAAAAGCAACCTTACCATCCCAGTGTTAAAATGCTGCTGCTTCTGGGCAGACAGCAGAGGTAGGATCTTCTTAATGAGTCACTTCTGATATGCCTGCGTGTGCAGAGCCCTTACTATCCCAAGATCCTAAGTAAGTTTTAAAACACCGGTTCCAGTAAAGTTGATCACTGATACCAGAAACACTGTTGTAGTGATACAGGATGCAGCTGACTGTGGTCTAAGCAACTCTCAGAGGTGCACACATTAATAAACAACCACTTCCCATATTGCGTGAACATGTGAATACACTAGAAACCCCAATAATGACAAACTGAGCATATGCAATGGAGAACACCATTTTGCCTCTCTAGACTTCCATGTTTAGGGTGCTAAATTTTTCATTAGTGTAAAACCTGTCACTTCTGGAAGGTTTGAATGGGAGAATCCTTCTTCATATCCATCTCTCCTTCAGTAGGATTTGACAGTGCAGGTTTAGCGTGGTGCCCACACACGATGCGCACGTGTACAACTACAAGAACTAATGTGGATAATCATGCTAAAAGAGGAAATCTTTTTGGTTTTTCCTAACTTACATACCTATTTAGGTATTGGCTGAAATCAGCTTTCAAGATGCAGGCATTCAAGTGGTATCCCTTACGACTAACTCACTCTTTCAGACCGGGATGATCAATACCTTTCCCTGCTGGAGACCTACATATTCATCTAGAAAGCCAGAGAATAGAAACAGAATTGCAACAGATGCAGTCGTAATTTCCACTGAAGCAGAGCTATAGCACTCTGCTTCAAACAGGGCTTGTGCATTTTATCAAATGTCTCGTTAATGAAAAATTTATAAATGGATCTGCATCTACAGATGGAAAACCACAGCTCAGCACGGATCCCCTCTACAGGTACAGAATTGAAGACCCATTTGCATTCTGTCTCCGTGACTCCGGAACTCTTTCTGCACCTGTTCAGCAAAAAAAAACTAAGTGTTGCTGTTAGAGCGGACATGGGATACAGGCCATTTCCCTAACACCCCTGACAAATCCTCCAAACACAAAGCGTTGTACAACCCATATTCACCCCTACGGCTTTGCCACAGGTGGCTCCTCTTCTGTGTACTCAGAAGAGGAACATGAAGCGTCTAGAAGGCTTTACTGATAAATCACTGAGGCCTCCACAAATCCATGTAACCACGAATGCAAGAATTTTGTGGATCCAATCTCCAAGCCTAAGGACACATTCTGAATCAGCATCCAGTATTTTTTCTGGTTGCTAATAAAGCCTAAATGGACACTGTACCCATATCTTCTATGGTGCGGTGTAGTGGGGGGCTGGGGGCAAAGAATCTCACCTGGAGTGAGAATTTCAGATAAGCAAGAGCAGGTCAGGTGCTATCTTTTGCCTAACCAAAGGGCAAGTCAGGGTCTAGGTAATTCCCTGTCAGTGGTGTTTGTGCAGGTGTCTAGAGGTTCTGGTATTAGCCATAGGCAATATTTCATCCTTAACTTACGCCTTATAAAATCCACACACTATGCAATATAGATGGTAATGGAAAGATAAGAGCTGCTGCTGATGTAACAGCAGAAAATAACTGAATCTGCTATTTCCCAGAGTATTAGCTTTCCACTACTATTGGAGGTAAAAGTGCTCTTAATTTTATTCTTGAATGAAATCTATAGCTATAAAATAAATTAATAAGGAGAAAAGCAAACAAAGAGCTATTTAAAAACCCTAGAAAACTAACCTAGACACAGATATTTTACCATAGTCACTGTAAACTTATATACACATAGTCTAACAAGATTTCTCCTGAAAGGTAAGCCACACCAAATGAGTAGCAATAAATGGCATAAGACACTGGAGACAACTGGAAATTCCATTATCTCACACATTCTTTATGATTTTCCATATTACATTTTTCAATAAATCATGTTGCAAAGGCAGTCTCAATATTCTGTCACTGAAAGTATAGTAAGTAAAATGAACTAAAGCACTGCTTTAGATTAACTACAAACATTTTCTAGTTCCAGTTTCTATTAAAACCTTGGTTGAAGAAGTATTTGCACTGATTATATTAACTCCCATTTGTAGGCCGTTCAAACAATGTAGCTACCAGCATGTAATAGAATATTTACTTGCTCTGTCAGAAGTATAAAAATCGGTCTGAATCTTTGAAAGACAACCAAGTGAAGAGACAACGCTGCAACCATTCTCAAAATCAACCTGACACTTAAGGGCAGACCCTGAGCAGTAAGCTTATTATTGGCAGTAATAAGGTTATTTAAGTAAACCGATTTTTAAAATAATTCATACACCACACACCACAGAGGAAGATTAGTTATTTTTGTTATCTAAAAAAGACAAGTGGCAGTTTCTTCAAAGAGACACAATAAAAAAGTCTGCAATTTCAAAAAAGCTTACACAAAATCTTGGTTGTTTTATTACAGGCAAAAGCTATACAATTCCTAGTATCAGCACTTCAGCATCATCCTTAACTGTAAACATCCATAAAGCTGTCAGGAACATACAACTAATGGCTAACTAATACATCGTATCAGCAAGCAAGTGCTGTATTTTTCTCACAGCCATATTTGTGAGCTGTGTTAGCACTATGTCAGGGAATCGATAGCTATGATTTCCCTTTGCCAGATGTTATTTGTCCTTTTCCTGTTTAATGTAAGCAGAAATGGGCTTCCTATGAAAAATTCATTAAGAATTCTACAAAAAGCATTAGTAGTCCGAATATTGTTTTTAAAAAGCAAAAAGTACACACACAAAATTATACTGAATAAACAACACTGACATAGCTATGCAATATATGCACTTTTAGTACAAAAACAACTAATGTAATCATAAGAGATGCACATAAAAGAAGGAGTAAGAGATACTTTCTAGACAATGCAAGAACAGCTTTTAAATTTAGCATGGCACTGTTATGTACTAGTTACTTTTCTAACACTGGCAGCTGAATGTCACATTCAAGGTACTGGATAAACTGTGTCTGATGTAATGAAGTCAATAGTTAAATTTTCTTTGACTTAAGATGATACATTAGAGCAAAGCTAAATGGTTTGAAAATTCTAGGTTATGCAGCACTCTTACAGAACTATGTGCTCAAATGAATACTGAATTTAGAAGGAAAAATTAGAAACAGCTTATCACAAGCTGCCTCCTGCATAAGAAAGCCAAAAAGAGTATTATTTCAGGCATGCAAAGGTGTACAAAGAGTTTTATATTAGTAAGATAATATGTTTCCTAGCCCTAAAACTTCAATACAACATAATCAACCTAGAGTGTAGAAAATTGAAAGCTGTAGCACACTAGAAAGAAAAGGCCAGTTAAGAGAGCAATACAATTAGCAGCCATTCAGAAAGAGCTACTGCACAGCGTTGTGCTTTAAAAATAGTTAAATAAAATGTACTTGGAAACAAATTCCT